CCCCACCCTAGTTTCCTGATACTTTCTCCATCACACTCTCTGTGTACAGGTTGTCCTGGGAAGAGAGGGCTCAGTGAAGGAGAACAAAAGCCTCAGAATAGTCACAAAGCCACATAAAAACCCATGTAAATAAATACAGGCGAACCTCACTTTAAGAAGATGCATTCATAAATATTTATGGGCACCTACAATGCACCAAGCACTATATGAGGTATTGAGGATTTATTCATCCATTCTACAAACACTTATTTAGGCCAACTATATGTACAATATCTGGAGATCAAAATGAGCATGTTCCAAAATAATAGCATATTTTAAATAAATATTTGTTACATAGATAAGTAACTGACTTGATTGAGGGGTGGTAGTAGGCTGTGGGTTGTTTATTTTACCAAGAAATCAACTGACAGCTCCTTTAAATAAGACTTTCCCTCCTAATGTATATAAATGGGACCCAGCTTTAAAGAGTCAATTTGTTCACCCCTTTTCAGTGCTTAATCGTGTAAAGGCAGTGTCCTAGAGCTGGCTTGTACTCAAAAGCCAAGTGTTAAACTTTCAGAAATTTTGCAAGTTGGTTATTAAACACAATCATTATTAAAAATTAAATTACATAAACTTACAATTAAATAAGTTATATTTAAAACAGAAGTACTGGCTGGGCTCAGTGGCTCACGCCTGTAATCTTAGCACTCTGGGAGGCCAAGGAGAGTCAGGAGGTTCGAAACCAGCCTGAGCAAGAGCAAGACCCTGTTTCTAATTAAAAAAAAAAAAGAAAGAAATTAACTGGCCAACTAAACATATATAGAAAAAGTTACCTGGGCATGGTGGTATATTCCTGTAGTCCCAGCTACTCAGGAGGCTGAGGCAGGAGGATTGCTTGAGCCCAGGAATTTGAGGTTGCTGTGAGCTAGGCTGATGCCATGGCATTCTAGCCCAGGCAACTGAGTGAGACTCTGTATCAGAAAAAACAAAAACAAAAACAAAAAAACCAGAAGTACTAAATACTCAAACTCATCACTTCCTAAATATTTTACTATTATCTGCATTCTTTTTTTTTTTTTTTTTTTGAGACAGAGTCTTCCTTTGTTGCCCAGGCTAGAGTGAGTGCTGAGGCATCAGCCTACCACACAGCAACCTCAAATTCCTGGGCTCAAGAGATCTTCCTGCCTCAGCCTCCCAAGTAGCTGGGACTACAGGCATGTGCCACCATGCCCAGCTAATTTTTTCCATATATATTAGTTGGCTAATTAATTTATTTCTATTTTTAGTAGAGACGGGGTTTCGCTCTTGCTCAGGCTGGTTTCAAACTCCTGACCTCGAGCAATCCGCCCACCTCAGCCTCCCAGAGTGCTAGGATTACAGGCGTGAGCCACCACGCCCAGCCTTACTATCTACATTCTTAAAGTTATTTTCATCTATTATACCTGTGTGGAGGAAATACTATGTAACAGTGTCCCACTGTGCATCCCCTCTCAACTGCACATTCAGTGATCTCACATTGGTAGCTTGAATTGGCCACAACCAGAGGATTTACATCACCGAAATTAACAACTGGAAAAAGCAGAACATTGTCCCCATGGAGAGCTGGCTTTTAGACTGCTGGTGTAGGGTCTCTATTATATAGTTTTCTTATATTAACTGTCTTGTGGTGAATCTTCTTTTAGAGTCTTATTGACAGAATTCAGTGGACTAGACTAAGAAGCATTTCCTGACACTGATCTTTTTGGTCCTTCTCAATATGCTAATTAAGCAACCTGCAGCCCAGGAGGAGGCCTTTTAGTTACACACAACTCATCATCAGAGGACTATTTGAAGGAACAAGGATATTATTCCACAAACCTTTATTTAGCAGCTAATATGTACAAAGCTGTGTGCTGAAGGCAAGGGAAGATACTAGATAAACAGTAGTTTGTGCTCTCAGGTAACTCATTATAGAGGAGGTGACACAAAACCTATCAATAATACAATGTATTTTCCATTTGTTTACGTCCTCTGTGATAAAAAAAAAAGAAGTTAAATTCTAATTAAATATAAATTAAAAAAATAATAATAATACAATGTAATAAGTGTTCTGATGGAGAAACCGAAGTGTGGAAGAGAGAGAAGCTAATTCAGAAACCATCAAAGAGGCTTCAAAGCATAAAGCAAAATGAAAATCTCAGGACCACCCCTAATGCAAAAGGGAAAGTCAAGCCTGGAGACCCAGTCATGCAACATCCCCTTCCAAATGAATAACTGTTACTCACATTACACATTAGCCACATGCCCCACAGAAAGGTAAAAGGCCTCAGGTAACTATAAGGACTGCCCCCACAGGTCATTCATAAGGCAATTCCTTGTTTGTCTCCCATAAACAAGGAGGTGCAAATTGTAACTTTATGTCTACATGCTAAATCTACCTCCTAAAACTAAAATCGGTTCTACTCCACACTAATAATGTTGATTACAGGTTTATCTTCCCAGGTGCAGAACAGAGACAAGATCAATCATTCTTCCCCCTACCAAGGGTCATGTACATAATTTATTTTTCCTTCACTCCCTTTTTCTCTTCAAATATTCACCTTATCTTATATAAAATACAGATTTCCTGGGCTTCACAAGAATGTAACCATTTGCCTCACACTCCCATCCTTTTTCTTTCTGTGTGCCCTCTCCCCTTTAAATGCTGAGTTCCCAAGTCTTATTTTGTGGGGGGGTGTGTATGGAGGTGGGGGGAACAGTCAAAGATATATCTGTGGCTTGTGTTTTTCCTGGGCAAGTTCTCAAACTTTGGCTTAATAAACTTCCATTGATTAAGATCCTTGCCTCAGTCACTTATTTTGGGTTGTCAAAAGAGAACCCATACTATAGACATCAGTGTCTATCTTGTTCTCCTCTGTGTCCCTAGCACTTAGCAATGTGCCTGGCACAAAGCTGGCACTCAATAATTGTTGCATGAATGAAGGAATTAGCAATTACCATGACCCTTGAAAAATAAGGAAGTTTTCCAGACAGATAAAAGTGGGTATAGGGAGGACATTCCAGACAGAAGAAACAGCATGTGCAGAAACATGGAGGGCAAAGGGCCTGGCACATTTGAAGACAAGATTTAATGTGGCATGAGAGGTCCAGGGACCAAAACTGGTAAAGGTGAAAGTATGGAAGAGGGGTTTCTCTGCCTCAAATCTCTGCAGAGCTCTCAAAAGACAAGCCTTGGGGACAGAGCGAAGAGCAATGCAGGGAGTCACAGAGAATCAGATTTCAGTTTAATATAAAGAACTTTCTAACAGAGCTGTCCAACAGTGGAATGGGCTGCCTTAGAAGGCAATGAGTGAGTTCCCTAGGAAAGAAGCAAACAGATGCCAGACAAACTCTTAGAGCAACAAATGGCTATGGGTAGACACATTTTCTTTCTTGAATATATTTTGGAAGAATTGATTAAGTCTCCTTTTTTAAAGGATGTTGGATAATGTATGGACAACTATCTCCAATAGTAATTCTGCAGAAGACACAAAAACTTTCCTCAAGTGCTTGTTTCTTATGTCAGTCATTGACTAAAGCTGAGGCCAATAGGGGTGCTAAAGGCACTTCCATGAAAGAAAGTCTCTGCAAATCACTGAGGTCTTCATTAATTTATGTAGCAATTATTTATTCAGTATCTTTGTGTGTTGGGAATTTATTAAGTGTGGAAATACAGATATAAATGAAAAAAAGGCACCTGCACTCACAGTACAGGCTAGAAATGCAGATAAGTATTTATACTCCAATAGCTATTAATACAATTCAAAATGCTATGGGGGGAGGGGAAGACCACAAATGTAATTTGTCTGGGAAAATCAGGCGAGGTCTTAGAGGGGACGTGACTAAGAGCTGACTCTTGCTCCATTCACAAGATGAAGTAGAATAAAGATAGTTCAGGCAGAAGGAAGACAGGTACAAGGGTACAGAGATGTGACAATGCATAGCCAGTTTGGGGAGATGTGTGGTTGGGCAATGGTAGATAGGAGCCAAAATGTACATGGTCTTGACTCCAGTGCTAAAATTTTTGGATTTTAATCTGTAAATGGAAGGAAGTCAATAATGGGTTTTAAGTGGGAAAGTGATGTGATCAGATCTGTCAATAGAAATGATCAGCATAGTTTTCATGGAAGGTATGAGGAAAATAGATTGGAGGAGCCCAGACTAGGAGCAGGAGACCTGTTAAGAGGCTGTCAGGAAAGTCCAGGTAAGGAATGACGATGGCCTGAGCTCTGGGGTTAATGAAGATGGAGAGGAGGGTTGACATGGTAGAGACTTTCTTTGAAGTAGCATGGTCAGAATGTAGGAGAGGACTATCTTAATCCACCTCCTCTTTGATCTAAGACATGAATATATGTGCACAGTACACTTTAAACAAAGATGGAGAAAGGGGCCAGGCATGGTGGCTCACGCCTGTAATCCTAGCACTCTGGGAGGCCAAGTCGGGGGGATTGCTTGAGGTCAGGAGTTCGAAACCAGCCTGAGAAAGAGCGAGACCCCGTCTCTACTATAAATAGAAAGAAAATTAATTGGCCAACTAATATATATATATATAAAAATAGCTGGGCATGGTGGTGCATGCCTGTAGTCCAACTACTTGGGAGGCTGAGGCAGGAGGGTAGCTGTCCCGACCCGAGGGACCTTCTGTTACTCGTGGGGGTCAAGGGGGACCGTGCCTGAAAGAGATGGGGGAGAGAAAGGAACGAGACCAAGCAAATGGTTGTCAAGGTCTACTTTACTTGGATACTTAGTAGGTTTTATAAGCATACAAAAAAAGGAAGTAGAAACAGAAAAATAGAGTGGGGTGACGATGAGTCTTGGGTTTGGGTTAATCAGCCCCAATCAGCGTCTTATTGGTATCGAAGCTGTTTGTGACTGGTTACTCATCTCCAACCTGGCAGGTGGTCGGGAACAATTGCAGTTAGCACACCCTGGAGAATTCCATGGTCAGCACTTCATGGAATGCATTCTTCTTGGAGCTATAGCTGGAGGGTGGGGTGCTGTTTTTGTCCTATTTTGCTGAATTTTCCAGGGCGAAGCCCGTGCATAGGACGAGTCATAGGGGAGTTGCGGGTCTTTGGGGCTCCTTGCCTCCAACAGATAGCCTGAGCCCAGGAGGTTGAGGTTGCTGTGAGCTAGGCTGATGCCACAGCATTCACTCTAACCTGGGCAACAAAGCAAGACTCTGTCTCAAAAAAAAAGATGGAGAAAGGAAAGGATCACTGGCCCAGACCCTTGGGATAAGACTGCTTATGCATTTTAGCACTAAATTTAACTCTGAGCTTCCTGAAAGCCAATGCAAAAAGGGAAGCATGATGACATATCTAGCTCTCATTATCTGTTAAAGTATACTAAAGAGAAAGGAAGAGACTGGCCAGATTAGAGTGGAAGAAGTTAAGCCTAAAGGGGACTGGGGGCAAATCATGTTTGTCCCTCATTCTGAGATTCTCGGGGAAGGGCTGTTTCTGGGATCAGTGGTTCCTTCTACTGCTCTTTGTTGGGGGTGGGTGTTGGGGGGAGGTGTTCTGGCCTGACAACACATTGGGATGGGGAGCCCAGCATTGACCCAGGAAGATATCTTTATAGACAGCCAGTCACAAGTGTTTAAACCTGGAAATCTGATTCCTTACCAGAGTGGGATGTGGCTCCACATACCTTCTCACTCTTTGGAGTCTCCAGTAGCTCTGCAAGAGAAGCTGGGCAGAAAGTTAAGGTCCAAAGAAAGAATGGATGTATTTACTCAAAGTGGCCCAGCAAGTTAGGGATAGAGCCAAGACAATAGCTCTGCCCTTTTGACTTGAGAATTTGGGTGTTTCTGGTCTGAGCAGAGCTGGTTATTCTCTCCTTAGGGCCCTATTAGTTCATGCACCCATTCAACACAAGGTATGGAGCACCAACCCTGGGCTGGGGGCTGTCAGGGCTCTGCCCTCAGGGAGCTCACCTTCTGGTGGGAAAGACAGCCCTTAGACAGTCTCCTCTCACTAAGATGATTGAATGCTGCCAGCACTCTCAGAGAGGTGCAGGTCTCACCTGTGAAGGCAAAGGAGAGATGGTGTCTTGTTTGGGGAGGGAGAGGGGGAAAGCATGGGAAAATTTCCAGGGGAAAGGCAAATGATCCTTCTGGGCTGACTTTCAGCCTGGGGATGGTGCATGGTGGACCTAGCAGAGACAGAGGGCAGCTGGCATTCCAGGCACCTGGAATAAGGAATTCTCTTTGAGGTTTGAGTGTTTTAACGGTCATTATCTCATTTGATCTTCCCAACAATTGTGGGAAGAAATTAAAGATATTTTAAAATATTACAATACCCAATATTAGAGCTGGGGAAACACACTCTGAGGTGACATGCTCAAGACTACAAACTGAATTAAGAATGGCAAGCGTCCTAATTCCATCCATATGCTCAGTTCTGGGCACATAAGACAGAGCACCCTAACCTGAGCTTTCCAGTTCCCGCTGCCCACTTCCTCACCCTTACCCTGATGGCTCATCCTTCCCCACCTGAAATCTAACTCAGGCTCTACCTTCCAGCACTCTGGGCGTCGCGGGGAGTCATGGGTTAAAACCCGTGGTCCGGGTGGCCCCTTTCCCCTCCCCAGCTCCCTCGCCTCCACTCGGCGCCGCGCCTGGAGCGTCCGTCCCCGAGACCGGCACGAAAGAGGAGGGGGAAAAGTGGGCCTGTTCTCGGGTGGCCAATCCACCGAGCCCGCGGTGCCCGAGAGGAGGCGCCAGTGCTAGGCCAGCGCCAGGCCGGGGCTGCCTGCTTCCCGCGGCAAAGTACAAATGCGCCCGAGCGCGGCGCCTGGCGCCCTTGGCGTGCACAGCCGGCCCGCGCTCAGCCTCCCCCCACGGCCGCAGCGCCGCCGCCGCCGGCGCCGGTACCTACCGCCCGCGCGCGAGAAGGGGCTCTCCGTGCAGCGCCGGCGCCCAGGCGGCGTTCATGTCTGAGCGCGGCCGCAGCGCCGCCGCCGCCTGCTCCCGCGCCCGCTCCCGCGCCCGCTCCTGCGCCTTCCCCGCCGCCGCCGCCGCCGCCACGGATCCGCAGACGCGCAGCCAAGATCCCTGACTCTTAACACCAACTCTCTTCTCCGGGGAGGGGAGGGGACGGCGCGGAGGGGGAGGGGGCGCGCCGAGGCGCACGGAATTGCAAGTTCAGCAAAGAAATGGGTGGGGGGGCTCCGGCGGGCGGACGCGGCGCGCTCGGGGTCGGGCCGGCGGGGATGCACACACACGCCCCCCGCCCCAACACGGGGGGGAAAGAAAAAAAAATCTCAACACCACCCCCCACCCCGCCTCGCCAAAAAGTACAAACGAAAATGCACCGAGCACCTCATTTTCCCCCAAGACCGTCAGTTACAATCTGAAGCCTGAGCACTTCGGCGAGTGCCCGTTCCATCCCTCCGAGGCACTTTGGAATTTATTCGAGTTTACATCCCCTCACTTCTTTCTTTCTCTTACTCTCGCTCCCTCTCACTCACACATCCACACACGGCAAAGCAAGTTTATACGAGGCTGCAAATACACGTGATGCAAAAAGACTTTGCCAAGAGGAACAATATTTTTCTTTTCCAATCTATATAAATCAAGCCACATTTTTGCTGGGGGAGATTTTCGTGTCGCTTTAGTTTTGCGTTGGGGGAAGAGACCTGAATTGCATAACTCTTTTCCCTCCCTTTTAAGTCACAGAATAGTATAGCTGCAAACTTCGCAAAAAAAAAAAAAAAAAAAAAAAAAAAGAGAAGAAGAAAAGAAAAAGAAAAAAAAAAGGCATTTTTAGGGGGTGGATGTTGTTTTGTTTTTGCACTTGAGTTCCTAGGCACGCGAAGTCCCGGTTCGCCAACAACTGTTAAGTTTTCAATTCAACATTTACCATTATAGGCCCTGCATGCTCTTAAAACATACTTTTTCACATCACTTTTTAGGACAAAAATTAAGCTTCATAATTCTATCGTTTCGTAATAACAAGCGTGCTTTATCCAGTATATGCAACACAACGCTATTTTAACGTGTGTTAAAAAACACATTCTACAAAGCCTGGTATTGCTAGATGTGCGAGTACATACACAAAATGCATGCACACACTTTTTCCCATTGGCAATTATTTAATAGGTTGTTCCTTTTTTTTTATAAAACACTGGGATCGACATTTTAAGATTAAATTCAATTACAAACAGTTTACTCTGACAGCAAATTGTAACGTTACCTTAAATGGCCACAAATATTCTCACAATATTCCAAGGAAGAGACTTTAAAAAAAAGAGGACCAAAAATCTTCTGCAAGTACTTAGTATCTCACATGTGTATCCCCCAAAAAGTATTTTTAACTGGTACTCAGTTCTGCTCCAGGGATGTCCACAAGATTACAAGATTATGCACCTGGCTCTGGGTTTTTTGCATTTTCCACCATAAAACTGCAACAAAATTCCCTCCCCCAAAAAAGAAATCATTAAAAAAAAAAATCCAACAACTTTTTCTTATTGTTTATAAAAAAAATCACCCAGGATAGTTATAATTTTTCCTCAAACAAATCTTGTTGGTTGGTTTTTTTTCTTTCTTCTCTTATAAAGTCTTAAACTTGGTCCAAGTTTAGAGCTGTCTC